CAAAGGACATTCAGTCTGCCACTTCTTTCCAGGACCAAGAAAACTGTAGGATTCCCTTTGGACTCTTGCCACAATTTGCCTGAATTTCTTAACTGTCTATGTTTTTCTTTGTTTTCTTTTTTTTTTTTTTTTCATGAGCATATGTGCAAAGGGTGAAGCTTCGATGATTTTTTAATAAGAAGGTGGGATGACTGTTTCATCCTATAGGTTACACTCTTGCCATGTAAACATGCAAGAAATCGCAATGAATTTCTCCAAGCAAAGATTTTTTCAACAGTATGGGATTAGCAAAATTGTCTACATCACTTTGACTTTTGGACCCTGGCGTGGAAATACACAATAAACATATGAGGGTAAATAAAAGGAACTTGCATGGCCACATTCCTTTGCAGTTTAGCTATTATTGGAAACAGTCATGTAGTGGTATAAACTCCATAGGGTAATTGGGTGTTTCAGTGCAAAGATTTTAGATAGGCTAAATTGACAATAATATCACATCTGTGTTGTCACTGTCTTTGTTGTCAGTTAGGTAATTGTAAAAATCATCCAGTAGTGAGTACAGCATACTGTGACATACAAGTTGTTTAACCAAAACCAGAACACAGTAAAACTATGCATGTAAAAACTTCCAAGTTTTTAAAAAACTTCCAAGTGATTAAACTGAAAACAAAATCTGACATAAATATACAGTATGCCTGTGGGAAACAAGGGTGCCATGTTACGACTAAATACCCGAGAGATGATTATCACTCTTAATTCGGCAGTACGCAGCATGCACAACCACATGCTGAGGTGGGCATGCAAAAAAGACAGACACACAAGAATCCACTTTAGGTAGCTGCAAAATAAAAAAGGCAGTTCATTGGAACAGCTCCCTGATCTGCCAGAGTAGTTCAGGAAATGCAAATGTAAAGCAAGCTGGCAAACATTGCCGGGAAAGCAGGGGAGGAGAATGGCAGAGGGGGAATAAAACAGAGCAGATCTGGTTAACTTAGAGAAGCATGTGCGGCGTGCTAAAAGAGTGACCAACTAGTGTCCCTGAAATCTATCCACGTGGGTGACGATTTCAAACTCTCTAAGGGTAAAAAAATAATAATGAAAATCAAGTGAAAGGTTTCTACTAAAATAGAACCTTTTCTCCTGCCAAAGGAATATAAAAATCTGAACAAGAACACTAGAAATATTACTCAGAACAAAATTCAGGAATATCAAATAAATTATCAAATACATGGAAGACTATGTCCTTGAAACTAGACTAAAGAAAGTCGGTGGCCTTCTGTGTCAGAAAGGCTATCTTGGACCTCAAAAAACCCAGTACCAGTAGAAGCATAGAGATGTCAGTCAGAACTAACGTGTCTCAGTTTCTCTAAAAAGACAAGCTTTCCTCTTTAAGTTTTTAGATTTTAGAAGTAAAACTTGGAAAATTAACCCTGGAAGAAATGCATATTAATTCTTCAACTGCAGGCAGCCAAAAGGAGTACAAAGCAATTTGGACAGAGGGATCTGTTAATGCTGAGACAGTACTGCCCGTACTTTGTTGAGAAACTGTAGTCCAGGGATAAATAAGATCAGAAAATCTATCCTTTGGAGGGAAGATGGTTCAGCCATCCCTCAGAAATTGGCACTTATCACATGCATGTTAGACAGAAAGTAAAAAATATTCTCAATTTCCATACTTTATCGGAGAAAATGAGAAAGCAATTTTTTATACTGATTACAGTAGAGCTCAAAAGGACTATCTATAAAGGTCTCAGTAGAAGCCAGGGTAGGTCGCCGTTGCAGTCACGATATTCATGAGAGGGACTTCTGGTTTAGCAAAACCTATCTGAGTTTATGGCTAAAACTCCACTGATATCTATTGTAAAGGGCTAAGAACCTCAGCTACTTTTCTTTTATAAAAAGTAAAATAGAAATCTCAGAAGTTAATTGATATTGATATAGTTACTGCAATTTACAGGAGGATCTGCATGAAAGTAGTCAATATCAGGGAAAAACACTGGCCAGAGAAACAAGACCAGCTAATGCCTCATGAAGCAGCTTGGCAACTGTTCTTCCTTCTATGGCTTCCCATGAATTCACTACGTACATTTTGCATACATTTCATTCATTGTTTAAAGCTAAGACTGCAGTAACAGGACAAAACTTTGAGTAAATGAACAACATTTCAGCCTCATTTGTTAGAATCAACACAAGAGAATTAACTGACCCTCAACAGATTGTTCAGGGGATGGCCAAAATGTATTAATTGATATACGTTGAAAAGTGCATCTAATTAATGAAACCCAAAGATCTGAATTTTGCTTTTAATTATTTGATTGCTATAACATGCCATCTTAAATGGTCTATTTTGCTATAAATTCTTGCATAAAATTTATATAAACCTAAATCAATTTAATGTTGCCAGTAATGAATATGAATTTTTCAACAATAAAAACATTCCAAAATACTATCAAAGAATAAAACTGAATGTTGTTGTTATTACTGACATTATAAACCCATATATTGTGCCTAAGGAATCTAATGAGTGGGACACTGCTCTTATAAATTCAAGAAGACAGAAATTCATATGTGGTGTAAACACTCCTACAAACAGCCAATATACTTATGTGAAGGAATTTTCTATGAGAAAAATGTGTTTTTCTCCTTCACAGATGGCAATATTGGGATTGACAGAAATGATTCCTGGCTTGAAAGTATTGCAGTGTCAGGGTGACTGTAATTAAATTCCTTAGCTGAATTGCAGTCAGATCTCTTTGTTTGGACAACGTAATTTACCATAAAATATATAAACCCATCAAAGGATAAAATATAGCAGATTTTAAAGCTAATTGGATATTAGGGTTATTAAAGGGACTTAGTGTGCTGGTGTTTTCCCCACATTTATGTATTCAAGAAAATGAATTACGGTAATATTTCAGTTCACAAAGGCCGGTGTGAAATGGGCATGTTGCCTGAGAAAGGCAGTAACAAACATTAACTGAGCAGTGCTGTGGCACTCTCCTTAATGGTTTCTATAAAGAGTACAGAGCTGTGTGTACCTGGCCTTTACCTTGCTTCCCAGAGACACGGTCTAGATGTTTCAGCATTGCCTTTCACAGCTTGTGGGTTGGCTAAAGCTTGTTTTGAAGGCAATGCTTTATTTACCTCCCACCAAAATGTATCAGGCTCCATCACAACAACCATTCACAGCATTTAACTTCAAATGTTGACAAATGACTTAGCATGTCAAAAAGCAGTGGCTTTACGGGTAGAGCCACGAGTGGACTTTAGAAGACCCTAAGTTAAGGGGCTAATCCTCTTCCTTTTCACCTACAAATTGAATTATTTAAGCTACTTTATGACTTGCCCCTTTCTGGGACCTCAAGCTGTCATCCTAGCTGTTCACCTGTAAGGCCATCTGACCATGCAATGACCATTGAACATTTTTAGTTGTTTACCATGTGTTTTTTTAGCACAACTCTGTCATAGCACACTGAAATAACACAAGGCAAACATTGGGTGGCAAAAGCAGACAGTCATGTCTTTTATCTTCTGAAATTCCAGTCACTACAGACTTCCCCCTCTATCTCCCTGCTCCCCTTCGTGGTCTTCCCAGTTTCCTCCTAGCTGGAAAGGTCAAAACTGAAAAGCAATCTTCTCCAAAACTCCCTTCCCACAGCATGTCTGCTCTGCCTTAGGAGTGTCAAACAGCCCAGGAAGCCATCTGGAAAAAAGGGTTCTGACTTGTGTCAAAGCGGAATGCAAACATCAGGAGAACTATAAGAGAGATCTTGAAGATCATCATGCATATATTCGTGTTGTGATTTATTAATGGTACAGCTGTGTAAAGCCAGAAACTAGGTGAATCACATCTGGTACAGGGGGTTATTTTATAAATCAAAGCATAACTGAAGGTCTCTGGAAGGTTTTGCTAACTTTTCTCCCACTCTGAACCTAGACCAGTCCCTCCCTATGTAACTGACTGTCTTTAAAAGTCCTAGAGGCAATATACTACTTTGCTTTCTTTTAATGGAATCCCGTATCTCTCCATGCCACTCTTTGAGAACAGGCCATACAAACCCTCTCCCTCCAAAATCCCAAGCTTGTTCATTTTCCCTCCACAAAAATCTATGTCCTACCTCTCCCCATTTTGAGAGTCTGTTTCTCAGCTACATCCTTAGGGTTTCCAAGCTCTGACTGGGCCTGGGGATGTCAAGAAAGGACCTAAGCCACAAGGTAGAGATAAGAAAACACATCTAACTCAGAGAAAACACATCTAACTCAGAGAAGTACCATTGGAGAGCTTCTTGAGCAAATAACTGGTTAAACAAAGGTTGCAAGGCTTAGTGTGTCCTTAAATATTCTATCCTTGACTCTTTTCATAAATATCATTTCTTATATTCTTATAATATGTCATCTTGCACTGGATTTCAGAAGGAAAAATGTCCATTAAATAAGGTCAGGGTAGATTGACAACATTATGAGATGATGTTCAGTCATCATCAGTAGTTCTAGCTTCTTTTTTTGGCTAAGAATTAAGCATCTGTGTTAGAACAGACGAGTATGAAGATGTGGAAAGAGAGAAGGTAAAGCACAGAAGTGGTGGATCAACTAAGATATTATATATTAAGAACAACAATGGTAGTTCTATTTTTGAAGCATTCTGGAGTTAAGGCTTGCTATTTGTGGGGAAAAAAACCAATAAGCTATTAATAATAAGCTCCTTCCTCTTGCATCTCAGTGAAAAAAAGGCATGGAAAATTTTAGCAATTTCTATAGCCTTCCATTGACTCTACTTTTGACATAACCTTAATTTTAATTCATGCATTGTAGACAGAAAATTAAAAGCTTTAATAATACAGCCATTAGCACTTATGCTTTATTAAAACTATTTGCACACTCTTTGTTGCACTTGTGAGACCTTTCAACAATACAAAACACACTTTTAATACATAAAGGAGCAGAAACTCTCAGGGAAACAGAAGAATATTAGAACAGAATTCAATGGTGTAGGAAAGTACCTGGATAAAAATCCCCTTGCGCAAACATGTCAATCACATAGCGACAGAATGCATATTGATCTAACAGAGCAAAAAGGAAAAAAAAGAGTAAAGAAGAAAGTAAATTTAAAATGCTGTTTCTATTTAACAGTGAAGATAAAGCTTGGTAGTGCAAAGACACATTTCAGGGATAGTCTTACTCCTATGTTTGGGTTTTTTTCTGGGCCTTCAGGTAATTCACATGTTCAGAAAGAGATAATTTATCGCCTAGGTCTAATTCAAGCCTCTCACCTTCAGTACTACCAGCCAGAGCTACCAACTCTTCTTCTGGGCTGGCAGGGCGCAGTGCACGCCCAGGTCAGCCGTGCGCGGCCTCGGTTTTGGCATACGTCCTGACCCCAAGCACAAGAACTGTGCAAACTGCTGCCTGGCCACAGGTCCCAAAGACTTTTTGCTATCCCTGAAGATCCATTTCAAATAGTCACAGTCAGGTAATAGAAAAATTCAATAAAGTTTTCTATCATAGTAGTTTGTTAATATTGTTTTAACAGTATAATCAATATGTACATTTAGTGATTGGGAATATAAAGAGAACTGTGTGTACTTACACTCCTGTAGCAATGAGATTTTTCCACAGAATTTTATCATTTTACTACAGAATTATTTTCCAACGTTAATCTTAACAAATATATATATATATGTATGTATATATTAAATCTGGATATATATCTATTAAAACTATGCTATTCAGATATTAAATCTTCTGAATCTAAATGAAACTCTGATTTCAGAAGTGTTGAGTGTCGATTGATTTCTCCTATACATAAGCAGAGTTGAAGTCCTTAATAAAAATCTCTAACATTAAGAATGGTAAAGAAAAGTTGCCAGTTTTAACAGTGCAAAAGAATTGGAATATACTTTCTGGATTCTCCAGCTGGCCAGAAAAAAGTATGTTGCCTCACTGGACCTTAAGGGACATTAGCTTTGAAAGTTAATGTTGATGGCTAAATGCCAACTCTGGTTAGATAGGTTGGTTCCCAACTGTCCTTGAGTGAAGCATATTCATCCGCCTGTCCTAGACTGTTCTAGCATGGTTCCAGGTCTACAGAAGTTAGATCTTTTCCTCTCTCCACCTCCTATTGCATCTCTCTCCTACAAATCCACTTACTTTCTCCTTGCCAACTTCAAAACAAAATTATGCAGACTTTGGAGTACTTAAAATATTAAAAAATTTAATAACTGTTATATTTAAATACAAAATGACATTTCCAAGTATATAACACTCATTGTCTTATTTGCTTTCTTACATAATTCACTGGAGCATCGGTATTAGTCGATGCCGAGGGATTTATGTGATTGCTGCTCTGTTATGTTGACTGCCATAGAAGTCTCCTTGGGTGGAGAACTGCAGCTTTCAAGTCATCATTTCCTGTGCAGTTGTAGAAGCTAGGAAAAGGCTTGCAAGCTCAGCAAATATCCAATTTTTTCTACTAGTCGATAGGAGCCCATGTAGCTGTTTCCTGTTACTGAGATGGCAAGGGTGATACTAGTCAGTATTGTAGAACCTGGGGCAAACCCTTCAGGCCATACACAGGGCTGTGGCTGTATCACTGCTTTTAAAATCTTTAATGACTATTCATAATAGTTTCTACTCTCATATTTAGGAATTCAAATTTATCATTCTGTCTGGCTCCAGCTTTGGATTCCATCCTTAAGGAATCTAAAGATTTTGGCTGCAATATCTGCCCTAAGTCTATGTGCTGATTTTCTGAAAAAAGTAGCAGCGTATGTATGAGAAAACGTGTACTAACCTGTACTCTCTGTAAGCCCATTTAAAGCCACTGAAGTCAGCAAAGTGTTTGCGATGACTTCAACGCACTTACAAATAGGGCCTCAGTGTGTATTAATAAATAAAACGGACCAATGCCAAATCTTTAGTCCAGAAAGTAAATGGCAGTGCACAACTTTTGCCCACAAAGCTGAGTTTTCCTTACCCCTCTTTGGCCAAAATATGCTGCCTTCATCCATGCTGCCCATTGGGAAGAGCCCCTGGACCGTTTTGCGGTGTTGTACCAAAGACTGCTAGATGGCACGGGACAAAACGAAGTCAGGGACACAGGTTGTACGGACGGTGACAGGGCAGGGCACAAGCCCGGGCTGGCTGCGTTAGGGTTACCGCAGAGACACTGCCTGAGGGCTTGGCAGCTCACATTATTTCACTGGTATTAAAATAATCCATTCTTTAAACATGGTAATATAGACCAGGATTAAAATAGACCATGCATGTTTGAGTTATTTTTTTGTTTGTTTTTTTTTTTTTTGTATTTCTGTTTGTTTGGGGTTTTTTTTTGGTTTGGTTTGAGGGTTTTTTTGGTGGAAATGTGATTTGAATAAACTTTTTTTAAAAAAATCCTTAATCTTGATTGTACCTGAGAACAAAGATATTGTATAAATCTTCTCCTCATATGATTTCTTTAATAGCTCAATCCCTGAAAACCGGGATTTATAAAAACAGTGAAGGCAGAATGTTAAACTCTGAAAAACAAAAATAACATTTCTACTGTATATGAAATAATAAGGTGCACTGTAACATCCTATTGAAGTTCATAGGAATTCTACCAATCAGCAAAGATTGAAACTTAAGGAATTTTAAGTGAATACTATTTTCCATATGTCTCTTCATGGCTAAAAATTCATTTTAGTTTAAACTCTCCTGTTAAAAAGATAATTTCACACTACAGTTTTCGCCTTATAACTCTGTAATAATGGCATATTCATCTGAGTACTAATAAATCATGTCAAAGTTTGGGACTGGAGTCTTATTGATAAAAATAGTCATAGATATTTCTGTCATTGGACCTCATGTGATTTACCCTGGTAGATGACTTATCTTTTTTTATTTTAATTTGAGTAAGGAATGATGCAACAGTGGGGAAATCATAACAACTCTTTTGTGATTACTGTTATATTTTTTACATTGTTGCAGAAAATCTGGCAGAATACTCCCTTGAGAAAGGAAAAGTAAGGATTGCAGGATCAGGAAATCTTGGCAAAACCGCCTTGACTTCAAAATTATAGAATCATAGAACCATAGAATCATTATGGTTGGAAGAGACCTCAAAGATCATCAAGTCCAACCGTACACCGATGCCACCATGCTCACTAAACCCTCTAAACCATGTCTAAATTATGTTCATCTTGGGTCACAGTGGGACTGAAATATAGAACTGAATTTTCTGGGAGCATCCAGTCAGGCAGCAGCAGTTTGTGGTGGAAAAAGGCAGGATGAAAGTAGAAAAGGCAGCTTTCACTGGGAGTGTGTAGCCCTATCTCCAGTGACAAGGGGGCTTGAAGAGGCTCCTTCCTTCCTCCGCTCCAGCTGCTCATTCCCACTTTCAGCTGCCAGGGTTAAGTGCACAGTCGCTGGGACCACACTCTAAAGCAGACTTACAAAGTGATCTCTTAATGTTTGATGTTAAGATGGATCATTTTGCTAATATTTTTCAGCTAAAGGGGGGAAAAAATTCCACAAAAACCAAACCAACAAACAAAACCCCACCACCGCTCTCTTGCTCTCTGTAATCTTTGACCTCTACTTGCTTAAAATATTTTGCTGTCAGGGAGCAAAGTGCCTCATCTGCACACCATTGCTTTTAGAGAGCCTTATCCTGAACAGTATGGAGTGGATCCCACTGTGCACTGAAACAGCCAGAGCAAACAAAAACCGAAAGAGATTTGCACCTCCCAAGAGGAGCTCAACAATTTGCTGAACTTTCCCCTCGGTCACAGCAATCGGCATGAAAGATGCTGCTTTGATTTTGTGCCTCAAAGGCTCCAATATTTCAAGTAAAATCCCAAACTAACTAGAGTACAAATAAATGTTAAATAATACTAGTTTAGCACACTATGCATGTCACAAAGCACAGCACACTATGCCTCAAAATCTGTCAGACTTCTAGAAACATATAATTTAGGCAACTCCTAAAGAGTCCAGAGCTGATGGTTATGAAATGCTGAGAGAATCTGCCCAGGCAGATTCAGACATTCAGGCAGGGATGGCTGCTTTGATGCTCAGGCATGACGATTTACCTGTGGTTATCAGCTGAAAGGATCAGATAAGTACGCCACGCAATGCTGAGCTGCCTCTATTAAATGTCAGAATAATCCTGTGCCTGCAGTGTGGCCCCTTCGTACAGAGAGCCAGGTCCTGCTGCCTTCATTCGTACAAAATTGTACCTAACGCCGTAGAAGAGCCAGGGAAGCAGTCAGTGCAACTTGGGAGTGGAAGAACCCAGACTGGCTCTGACAAATTGGGGTATATAGTTGACATCTCCATTTGGTGTTGATGCATGTTGATTCTTTGTTTTATCATTTAATTTCTTCCTTTCACCAGGGTAATGGCATTTCTTTCCTTTTTAGAGAAATTCGGAAGCTATTCACATCAAATTACATCAGGCAGGTCTATCACTATGTCATACAATACCTGACAACATAACAATGCCTCATATAATCTGATGTAAGACAAATTATTACATTCCCTTTCCTCTGTTGCTGCTTTCCTTATTTTTATGTAGGACATATGCAGATGTAGAAACAAAACAAAATTCCCAACAGATCATTGGACAGGCTGTATTTTCCAAAATAATTCTGCTAGCAATACACTACATAAGATGCTACTGAGCAAATCCGTGAAGAATCAGGCCTATTTGAAGAAAAATTGGTCCTTGGTAAAGGATTTAAACTAGAATGAATCTTTAGCCATGACAAACAGTTAAAACATTCTGGTTATATAGATTAAACTTATTTTATCCTTGATAGTCTCCTCCTAGCAGTGTGAGATTCATCTGGGATTTATTTGTACTGCACTTTTGTTTTCCATGGGTGGACTTTGGTCCTTGCCAGCTTTAACTTCATTCTCTCTGCTTCTTCCCTACTACCTTTTTAAGATCTTCATCTTTTTCCTCCTGGTTTTGTTTACCTTTTTTTTCCGATTTAGTTACAGTCTGAAGAGCTTTCTCCTCCTTAACTTTCGGTTTGGCCTTTATTAGCCCAACTTCTGTTGTTTTAGTCTCTGCCTGCTTGACCTTCTCAGTCGTCTTTGCTTCTGCTTTTCTGTCCTTCACTTCCTTTTTAACTTTTGTTTCCACTTTAGTGCTCTTTACTTTCTTCTCCTCTGCAGGTAATAAAGAAAAATCTTTCAGTGTCATTCTTCCCCCCCCCAATAATACTCAATGCTCTTTATTTTATCTTGTGCTATTACTAGTAAGTATTTCTTCATTATTAACACCTTGTTGAGATCTGATGAAAATTATAATCCCTCAAAACCAGACAGACTTAGACAGAAATATGAGATGCAAGCATGTTTTATCTTTAGTTCTGTATCAAGTATTTGACTGATGTTAAATATAGTAGGCTGTGGCAAACAATATTAAATGTTTCTAATGAGAATATTATAGTTTTTATGGTATAAACTAGGGAAACAAATGTTGGTCATTAAGCAAACAAAGATGAAAGGTACTTGCAGGCTAAATCTGAGTAACGTTAGACTTCAGAGGTCAGAGTTAAACTCTGTTGTAAGCTGTGAAAGTAGTTAATTTAAAGTGTGGCTATTTGTAAGGGTCACTTTTATGCACTGGTTCTAGGTCTCTGCCCGAGAAGTCTTGAGTTCTTGAGTCTCTGCACCAATTGCCCAGGCTGAAAGACTGGTCTGACTAAGGTCTGAGACAGGCCAGTTCATGACATGCCCTGCAGCAGAGAGTGAGAAGGTTTCCAAGGAGAATCACCAAATTGTAAATACCAGAGGCTGAAGCTACACAGAGGTTGGTGAGACCAGGACTATTCCTTCTGTTTGTAAGTATTAGCAGCTTTTTCTTATATCTGAGACATCAATCCTGACAATATATGTTTCTAATTCACTTCAGTGGAAAATCCAATAGTAGTTTAAAATACCGCTGAATACGGTTTAAACTAATCTGTTTAGTGTGATGACCACACTTCGGTTTTCTTCACAGCTCTAACTGTGCATCCTTGAGGCAAAACTTGTGTGCTACAAAATCTACGTCTTCTATAAGGCTCTAGACTTCTATTTCTATTAAATCACTGGGCTGACTAGACTGATTTTATCAATATGTAAACTGAATAGGTCTACCTATTCTAAAACAGAATACAGATGTTTATGTAAGGGCATTCCTATTTCCAAACAAAACCATGGCATGACTAAGTATTGCTGGCTAGTAAAGAAAGAATTTCCTTAACTAGTTATAGTGAAAATGTGTATGTCAGATCACTTACAGATAAGCCTACTTATTTTTCAGGGAAATGGTGGTTAATACCTTTAATTTTCATCTTTGAAATTTCAACAGGGATCATGCATAGAACTAATCCCTGGATATTCTAGAGATATTTTAATTTGAATTACCTTTTAATTTCATTATAGTGTCATGTAGCTGATTTTTCATACACATTATATTGTCTGCTCCAATAAAATAAAGTTTATGAATTTTAATGTGAATTCTGGTTAAAAATGTAGTATAAATAAATAAATACCTTTGGGAGGAGGTTTCTTTTCAGCTTTTTCATGTCTTTCAGGTTTGCCTTTTTGAATTACTAGAAATGAGTAAAATTGTATATTAGGGGAAAAAATACAAAGAATGAGAAAATATTGCTAAAACATAACAACATCCCTGGAAGTTTCACATTTCTTTATGATTCCTGTTTTTTAGTTTGCAAAATTCTTGCTTCTTTTTCTTGAGCTCATACACTGGGGTAAAAGCCTTCAAATATCTGTTGAGACTTACCTAACCAGAAGACAAGTCAGGCACACAGATCTGAAGATTTGTGGGGAATGTTTATACTGCATATTCCAGATGACACAAACTTGCTCAGCTCAAGCTCTGAGCAGACATGGTCTTGATCTTCTCGTGCTCCAGTCAACAGGGAGCCGTGCGGCAATGTTTGTCTTACAGAAAGGTGTTTTTCTTAACTCGGGCTCACTGTCATACAAACATAGCCACAAGCCTGGTGCTCACTTCAGAGCCCAGCTCGGGTGAGTTCGTGTCTGCACAGGATGCACTGTGTAAACACACAACGCTATGTCCCAGAAAGGCTGTCAGAATTTTATGTGGAGACTTCTATCTTTCCTCTCTCGGTTGCCGTTCAGACAAATTACAGGAACAAAACAGCCTTGAAAATTAATTATACTTCTTTCAAGTGACAACTACGTAATAGCAACATCCTCTCTAACTGAACTCCGGCCTGGAATTGCTGCCTGTATGAGCCATGATTGATATTTAGACTTGTTTTTTTGAGATAGCTGTTTCTTAGATGGCGTGTTTAAACAGCATTCATGTCACTGAAGCTTTCTGGAGCCTTTAAGCGGGGCTGAAGAATCATAGAATCATAGAATGGTTTGGGTTGGAAGGGACCTTAGAGATCAGCTAGTTCCAGCCCCCCTGCCATGGGCAGGGACACCTTTCACCAGACCAGGTTGCTCAAAGCCCCATCCAGCCTGGCCTTGAACTGAATGCAGTACCCAAAGTCTTTTTATTGAACATAGAGAAAACCTGCTGACGGTGGGGGAAGTAGTCACTTGCTTTTCAGTACACTTGTTCCCTGTAGTTGGCCTGGACCTGAGCATCCCCATTTCCTAGGGACTGCAAGTGGTTGAAATAGCCCCTCAGCACTGCTGGTAGCTGATCCAGTGTAGAACAGACCCCAGACAAAGGGAGGTGAGCCTGGAAATCGACAGCTCATCAGCACCCTGCCATCAGGAATGTGCCTTTGGAAGCGCTGGGGGTGATGAGAGCCCTCGTGCACTGAGTCCACCCATAGGGTGGCATGGAAACTATTCAAGAGAGGGTAGCATGTCCATGCACCGCACTGCAGTAGCAAATCTCCCTAGCTGCAAAGTGGCCAAATTCTTCATAAAATTTTCCAGCCAGTGACTGAAGTCATGGCTGCTATTAAACACATTAAAGCTCTAAGTGATTATTTGGTTAGCTAGCAGAAGATAAATGGGTAAACAGGCTGACTGCTCATTAGGAATATCTCAGTGATTCTTGGAAGTTATTTGCTTTTCAAATCTACACAGACACTGTGGGCATTTGTTTTCTCTGGATTACTGCAGTGTGATTTCACTTTATTAAAAAATTCCTACACTTTGGAGTTATACACTGAAAGTAGAAAAAATGACCAAATGTCCCTTTAAAAGAGAGACTGGACAACAGCTACCTTTCAAAGACTTTTAAGACTTTAAGTCTTCATTTCATTTTTTCTCTTTTTTCATTTCTACTTTTTGTTTTACATTTCTCCTTAGACTAAGGTTGGGTCCAATAAAGACTGATTTGTACATTTGAATCTATGTTGTCTGAACAGATTCAAATTAAACCTAATTAATTCACACATCCCATCATCATGAGATTAATCTGAATGCCATAACAGACTGATACTAAGATACATTGACCAGTATTTTTTTCGTTAGTCTTCAAAATATGGCATAACAGGGCAAACTGATTGGATTTTTAAATCCCACTGCCCAAATCATGGCTAAAGATGGAATTATCAGTCAAAAGAATACTGAAAATCACCTCTCATACACGATTTTTCTTTAGAATATATATGATAATGAGTAGATATGTAAATCTTAACCAAAGCCGCTTCTGCCACGGAGGACAGTACGAACCATGTACTGAAATTAGAATGTTATTGCAAAAAAATAAAGGCAAGAAGATGAAAATCTATTTTTGGGTGTGATAGAAGACCCAGACTGAGAGACTGTAAACACTCTCACATTAGGTCTACCCCAGATTGAGAACTGATACACAAGAGAAAGCCTTCTTTGCAGGCAAATTACTGAATCTCATTGTGGAGGAAAAGACAAAAAGGAATGCAAATATAATAGTCATAGGTTTATTTCTTTAGCTGCACAAGAATGATTCATGATTACCTCTGTGCATCAAAACAAAAGAACTAAGCAAGAAATATATACTGAGCAAGACTTCACTCAGGGGGTCATCAAGATCTGCTCTGGGAGCACCCAAAAAATGTACAGCATGGACTAGAAGAGCTTTATACTTTAAATACTCATCTCCACAATCTCCCAAACTATATAAGCACTGAAAATTTAAAATTGTAGAACATCTAATAATAATCTGCATTACCTTTAGAAGGTGCTTTCTTTTCATGTTTTTCTGGCTTTTCAGGTTTCTCTTTGTGAATAGCTAGAAATAAATAACAACATTATTAATGGTTATTAAAAAAGAGAAATGTTGCATTTTAAGTGAGAAATAAGAGAAAAAAAGATCCAAAACCACAACTAGGCACCATGGATATCTATGCAAAGAATCAGAAAGATTGATTCAGCTTCTGCTGTCTACTGTTGATGCCAAAACACGTGATTCGAACTTTCAAAAACTCGTCCACCATCCCTGAGGTCTCTGCCATCGGCTGGGGGAGGAATGGCCTTTCTGGTACAACTGTAATCCCGTGAAAGAAGCTGGTCAAGAAGAGTCATGCTTATTAATGTTGTTTACTGTTTCATTTTGCTTGTTTTGTTTATACTGTCATTTATTGGTTTATTTTGGTTTATTGTTATTTTTGAGCTTTCTTGTTTACTACTTTGGCTCATTTCCGAAGGATTTTCTGAACTCCACATAACAACTAACAGTTTTTCCAGCTATGAATGATTAAACACTATAATTAATTACAAATTTAATTGCAATGGCATTATAACTAATGCTCTTCGGGGCTTTTTGTTTGCTTTTAATTTCCACTTTACAAATTGAAATAAAGCACACTGTAGTGACTGGATTTCTGGCTCAGGTTTCAGAACACACCTAGGTTGTCCAACAGTCACTGAACGGCGGGTAGTTTGGAACATTTTCCAGTGTGGGCTCTGATTTGCTAAATTTTTGTGATTAATTTTTACACAGTAACTTGTCCATGGGTGTGCGGGACTGATATTTGTATATGTTCATACCCCCTGAGGTACCCTACAGGGACCAGGTCTGTGACAACACTCAGCTGCCTTTTTGACTCCGGCGTGAATTCGTACTAAGAACACAAAAATGTGTCCATGAGCATTGCTATGTACTCTCCAGCCTTGTGTTGGTCCTTCAAAAGAAAGCAAGAATTGTGGAAGACAAAGTAGTGCTAGATACCTATTTATTGCAGATAAGTACTTAAAGAATTAGTCCTGCTCTATTCAATGCCTATGCAACAGCCCGAGTCAGTATTGTAATTAAATTGTTCTTTTCACATGGCCTGCCTCATTAGCTTTGTTTACAGGTTGTCTGATGTTTTTCCTGGATGATCATATTCTCTTAGCAACCATGTATACTGTGAGTGTTGGAAATACTCAGAGATTACTGGGAGATTATACCAATCCAGAGTATAAAATACATTATTTCCATTCCTCAGAAAAAAAATAACAACAAACATGCAGAAGGAATACAAAATGCTACTCAGTCTGTATGTCCGCAAACCTTTGTATGATCTCATGATTTTTTATTCCTAAAGTTCTATAACATTTTTTCCAGTCAATGGGATACATAAATGGAAATTGAGTAGACAATTATTTCTGGGTTACCTTAAAATGTAAAATAAATTCTGACATTAAATCATTACCTGCATGCCTTTCCTTTTTTTCAGGTTTTTCTTGTCTTTCCAGTTTGTCTTTATGTGTCACTAGGAAAGAAGAAATGTGTTTATATACATTAAAAAAAAACAACCAAACAACTGTGGAAAAACTTAAGAATCTAAAATAATTCTGCCAAGATAAGCCTTATGAGACAAAATGGCAAACCGTGTTATTCCTGAGCTATCCTGTTCATATCTGCCCAGCATACACCGTGCTGCATGGGGGTGAGCAGATAACTGTGGTGAACAGGTTACTGCTTACCATCCAAGCCATGGTAACATGCCTTAGCTGTTCACTACAGTAACATCATTGCTTGCAACTGTCTGTCCATTCCTGAAGAGAGATTTTCAGAAAACTGTCGAGGACTAAGGCAGAGCTCCCAGTAAATGCTGCTGCCTGCATCAGAAAGACGACATTGCCTGGGCCACCCCATACGCTGTCAGGCAGGGGCACGTAAAAACCCTGGAATCAATCCTGGAGCATAAGAGCATCACATGCACAAACGATGTCTGTTGCTTGCCAGCTGGCTTGAAATGGATAACCAGTAATGGATACGGATAACCAGTAATGGATACGGATAGCTAGTAATAGATACGGATAGCTAGTAATGGACACAAGCTGAGATCAGTCCCTGGCAATGACGATCTCTGAGCCATAATTAGAAGCCCAGTATGTGCAAAGTCAAAACTGACATTATGACAGTGGAAACTGTATTATGCCATTCACTCATTCACGTAACTTTTTCCATTCACCCTTCTTGAGATTTTACACAATGATTTTCCAGAAAATGGGAAATAAGCACGTGGATTTTACAGCACTTCAGAAAAATCAGCTGTGGAACTGCAAGCTAGCTTTAAATCCTGTGGAGAATTTCAGCCAAGTTTAGTAAAACTCTCTTTGTCAAAGATGAGAAAATAAGAACTTCTTTTACAGTACCGTGAATTCCATATCTAACTGGAAACAAAAGAGGAAGGGTAGGGAATATTCAGGCGCTCACATTTTTTTAGCAATATAGTGATGAAATACATGAGAAAGAGTTCCTGACATAGCTGACTGAGTCACTTCTAACTATTCCCTGTGTCATTTCCTAAACTTCTTCACAGAAGTTGATTAGAAATTAGAATAGGATGTTATTTACTGTCTTCGTTATCTAAATCTTGAAAAGGGAATGTATTTAAAGTAGAAAATAAGCAGTTAAACTACAGGGATGCAGTGCAACTTTGGAGTCTCCCAGTCATACTACAATGGAATGGGCCTTAGAAAGACACTTATCCATTGTCACAGTTTTAAAATATAATCTATGGTCTGAAAGCAATGTTTCTTAGTACTATGAATACACAGAATCTCTATACGCAGTAGTGGTTTAGTAGCGATTGTAGCAATAGTTCACTAAACAAAACTAAGTAATACCTTCACTTTAAGATAAAATACAGTTAAGCAGATAGAATATTAGTAGGAGTTATGACAAGTTAAGGCAGTACAATAATTCTTATTTTTCTTCTTTGGCTGTCTGAGATTGGCTGGGATAATTTTTTCCTGTTCAAAGAAACTTCTAAAAACATTAAATATTGTTCTCCTATCAAATCAAATTGAAGAGTTCCCCAAGTTTCCCACAAAATAACAGAAGTCTTAGTGACACGTTCATGATTTAATATAGGACATTATTGTCTTTGCTCTGTGATTTTTCCAAATCTCAGAAAAAATTTCTCTTGTTACCATCGTTCCATTTTCTAGTAATAAATATTAATTCTAACAGAAACCTGAATTTGTGTGCCTGCCATTAACCTCTAGAGTCAGCCTTGCTAACTAAATGTATTTTGAATTATTTATATGAAATGGAAAAGCTCCAATCAGAGACCATTAGGAAAACCTAGTCAAGCAGAGATTTCAGGAAGGTGCACGTTCACTTGGGTTGTGAGACTCATGTTCTTGGTCTGAAATAAATCAACTGTGGCTGGATATTAGGTCTTCCCTTTTTTGGGTGATTTGTTATGACCATTGGCTTATTTGCTCTTCCAGAACGGGTTTCTTCCTCCAGCCTGAGACTTCATTAATCACATTTTTATGTAAAGGACATGTTCTCAGAAGGCTTAAAGTGTTTTGACAAGTAGGTATGTTCCAATAAAATTCCATTTTGCCTAAAAGTCCCTCAGAAGAGGCAACCTAGATGGTGGCTCTTGGAGCCCAGAGGTAACTCATGAGTCATGGGTGGAGAGGAAGCAGTATCCTCATTCTGACTCCTGCAACAGGCGAGTCTTTAATTTGTTGTTGGCATACAGCAACAGCAAATTCGTAAATCCTCTCTAACACCCTCTCCCCAATGTCTCTGAAATGAGTCTGGGGAATTTTTTTTTCCTAAGGCAGGTCTCTGAAGCAGAATGCCTTCTGGGACCATGCCCTGTGTGTTATAATTTACTCTTTACGTTTTGCTCAGAAGTACTCCCAAAGACAAATATTATGCTTGGATTTATTCAAGAAGAATAAAAAAGGCACATATTTATGCTCTGGGCATCTTTTATGTAAGTTAATAATACAGTAAAAACTTATTCATAAATCTCTGAATATAGTTTTAGCCTTTCTGCAGAGTGATGAATTCAAAGTGCTTTTAAAATCCTCATTCTTCTTCCATCTGGCTTTTACAACATCTCCTCCATTCTTAAAGATAATTGGGATTTACAAGAAGGATCTAAGAGTCAATAGACTAGACTGTTTTGAACCACTGGTAAAAAGACAAAGAACATCAAATGCTGCATACGTACCCTTTAGGGGTTCCTTCTTCTCAATTTTTTCTTGTTTTTCAGGTTTGTCTCTGTGAATTACTAGAAATAATAATAATAAAAAACCACCACACAATAAATCTGTAATCTGGAGGTATTATGTACACATATTACTTCACCAAAGTGATCGAAGAAAAATATTTGTAAATTCAAATAATGGATTTCAGCTCTGAGTCACAGATACTAGATGATGTATAGACCTTCTTAATGTCAATATTTAATTCCAAGTCCAAGAGAAATATTTTTCCTTGAATAAACCTTCAGATGTTAGACCATGTTTTCGTAAAATAAGTGATAATTCAGCAACCTTAATCTAATCTGTGGGATCTCTTCTGGTCCCATTACATAAGCACCCTGACTCTAAGATTTCTGACAGAGGAAATTATTTTCAGTCCTTGACAGTATTGCTTTCTATTCTTAACAAAAAACAGCTATCATGTTGCTTTCCATGCCCCTTTTTCTTTATTTTTAGGTGTTACTTCAGCCATGGGATGAATACGAAAACATCTTTTTTAATCAGAGCATAACTTCAGGAAGAGCAGCTGTTCAAAACGCAACCAACTACACCTCCTCTATGGACTCTGTTGCCCACCCAACTTTCAGACTGTGTTTTGGGACGTGGTTGTATTCCATATCTAATGATTTAGATGGGCAAAAATGTTCCTTGTCAGTCTCTACTACTAAAAGACTAGGGTTTTGCAATTTCAGGGAAAAAATATTTTCTTTGCAATACCCAAGTTTCTGTCAACAAGTAACCACAGAAAACACAACTCTGATTAGAAGACAACGGTGAGCTTTATACACAAGCACAGTAATGGTTTTTGCATACAGTCACTTCACTAGCTTTGCAGCAAAAGTCATTTCACAGAAGTGCAAGCATTTTTTTGTTGGTTAAATATTTCCTCATTAAAAAATAGGTCCATGAAAAATAATTCCAAACATTCAATCATTTCATTATGTCTCGCATGTGTTTGCATTATCCAAATACATTTCCAGTCATAACAGGTAAATTATTGTTGATAACAATTAGAGGTACAGTGGAAAGAGATTGAAGGCAGATTTTTCAAAGCCTTTGAAGGAACGTGGACAGCTAATTTACACTAAAAAAGCAGGCTGTGAAGACTGCAGCAGCACTAGCAATGTATTATTGAATGAATGACAGGCTGTGGTTCATTCAACTGCTTTAGGACATCTAGTAGCATACCAAGGAAAAGCAGTCTCTCTCCCTATACCATGTAGAACTTAGTCTGAATATTTTTGCAGAAACTGAAGCATGCTTTTACATCTTACATTTGTATTAGCAGGTGCTAGCTCTCTGCAAAACGCTTGGAGCCAGCGTGTTGTTAGTTTTGGACGGGGCAATAGCACAGTTCTGCAAACAATAGCTCTGTGATGGTCAATGGCAGTGAAACATGAGCTTCTGCACATCGGACAAAAGCCCTTGTAGTCTCTATGCCAAAAAATATAGCTGAACTATGCAGAACAGACTGGCAATCAGAAAGCTTGTTTTTGGCCACAGAACATCTTACTTGCGTAAGGGAGACTGTTGTGGGTTGGGTTTTTTTTTAAATTTATTCTAGTTTCTATAAAACATTTCCCTATTTCGTGCTTTGGAAAAAACCCAAAATGAGCCTTGAAATGACACTAACCAAATTGAGTGTCAGCAGACCTTAAAGTATGCAGAAAAGCCTAATTTAAGGTTCCTTCACATGATCAAAGTTGTATAAAGGGCTAAAATGCAAGGAAATATTCATATTTGTGTGGACTCCAAGTTAAAAACATGGAGGAGGGATCGATTGGCTCCTTCTTAAGAAATAAAAGTAACTTGAAGTACCTGGGCAGGGAGCCTGGAATGTGGATAAGCAGAGACCTGGCTGGCATAAGCATAAGCTATTTTTCTCTTCCCGGCGATAGGCTGAAGGCAGTCTCTGGTTGGTTCAAGAGCCCTATCCGGAGTGTTGATATCCCCGTAGCCTCAGAGTTTGCTAATCTCAGATTGTAATGTTTACCGTTACCTCTTATGGACACCATCAGAGCTACAGCTTTTGGGTAGAGCCTTATCCGGGAAGGGCAGGTGTTGCCAAAAACGAAAGGGTTCATGTTTCAGGGCTGTGATGGATGGCCATTTTTGACTCTTCAATCACAGTGCGGCAGGGCCACCAAAGTCCACTGAAACTTTTGATTTGACAAACTTAAATATGATTTTTCTTTTGCGTATTAAGGCTGTTTGTTTCCCACTGAAATGTTTTCATGTTCAGCTTCTTGTGTAGTCCTAGAAGCTCTGTTGTAGAAAATACTTCACTGTTTACAGATCTTTTCCAGATTTAGTCACTTGGGTATCTATTTCTTTGTAAAGGGCTTCATACCTGCCCTTTTTCAAGCCCACAGCATTTAGGTGCAAGCATTAGGTTTTAAAAATAAGCCAGGCTGGCCGTACTGCCGTGTTTCTGTGAAACAAATTAGAGTTAACAAGATTTTCTTTGATGTATAGAAAACAAAGGGGAAGCACATAAAAATGTTTTTAATGCTGCTAAGTCAAGCACTCTTCAGCTGAAAAATGCTGGAACTAAAACTGCTCATTCAACCTTAATTCAACCATTTTATTTTCTTTATGACATCCTTTGTAATTAAAAGATCACCTCTTTTCTTTTTTTAATAGGATTCTGGATTAATCCAGAAAAAATAAGAGAAATAACTAGAAGTAGTTTTATGACAATAGAGTAAGCCAGAATTTTCCCACAACTTAAAGAAATTTTATTGGACTTCCTTGCAAATACCAAAAAAGCATAAGCTCAGAATGAACTGTTATTAGCATTGGAAAAAATATAACACCCCAACCTAATTTTCACTAACCTAGATTTTTAAAATTGCTGAAACATTTTTATATGACTTTGAATGAAAATTCAGCCTGAGGCAAAAAGATGAGCATGAAAAATTTCATCCTCAGTGACTGGAGTGTGGTAAATTTATAAATAATCCAAAATAGGAACTTATCATGGAAAATTTTAAGGTAATTTAAAAATGTATTCCAAACTTAATCATATAAGAATATTGTTATCTACTTAACATAAAACTAAAAACAAGCAGCATAGCACATATGTGAGAGATTTTTCCAAATTTCAATCATCTAATAGTTGATTTGCATCAAGTGGAAGACATAGCAAAGGGGTGGGGGGGGATGTGATTTAGTTTTTCTTCATTAAAGTCTTTGAGAGAGAGACATTCCCTACCCAAAAAAAGCAGGTGCAAAAAGAAGAGATGTAATAAGGAGGCACTAATTCCATACCTAAGGGAAGTAAAAATAGTTTCCAGCTGAGTAAGTCTTAAGTCTGCCGCTTGGTATAAAGCCAGGTGATGAGTGCAGTAGGCATGAAGCAGAGATTGCTTGCTCCAGCTAACTGACTAAGTGCTTGTCCACAGAGCAACACTCAGGAAAGTTAAGATAAATGAACTAATACAATGAAGTTAGAGTGCATTAATCAGAGAGCATAAAATCTCTGTGTAGATGCTTTTATTCAGAAGTAAAGTAACCTTAGCTGGCTAGAATTTAATTCTTCTTGAAGGAACACTGGAAAAAAAAAAAAAAAAAAAAAAAAAAAGACAGGGCTTGATCTGGAGAGAGGTACAGGCTTCCAGGTTCAAAACGGTAATCTAATGAAATCTCAGGAATTAGTGAACTGTGGAGGCACCTGTGCTCATTACAAACCACCTCAGTTACCTGTGAAGGGGAAGAGATTTGCCTTGGAGTTTGCCCAGATCCTCCCCAACCGACACCAAACATGCACACGCTGCTCACCGCAGCACCAAACCCTGTGCTGGACTGAGCCCTTCAGCAGTGAATATAAATGCCTATGTAAGAGCGAGATGATGTCTCATAAGTTACATGTTTGTATGATTTTAAATTAGATTTAATTGCAACAGTCAGACAGTGTTACATCCATCTGAACTGAGATTTAGGTTTGACAGCTACTGGTGATAGTAAAAATGCCCACAGCATGGGCTGCTCCCTAAGCTGCTGTAAGCCCATACAGCTAAATGGATACTGGTCAGCTGTACCTGAGCCACTGCAGCTGCGTTGCTATCTGTACCATGTTACCTAGTTTAAAGTTAAGTCAGGTATATCTGTAGCCATACCTCCAGAGATCAGGGTAGACAGCCCCTGTGTTGAACATAAATATGCCATTTAACTTGCTAATGCTGTCAGTTTATGTGTGTTTCTAGTATACTGTGGAGTTGTATGGTCCAGCTTTATTCATCTATTTAGCTGTCTCAAACATCTTGTCTTCCAGCTATAGCAAATTAAATTATGGAGAGACATTACATTTGTCTTTATAATCTCATAATTTATTCGTATGCTAAAATACAGACAGCTTTCTTGTGTGATGTTTAATATTTGCATTATCAGTATGGCCCTATTAACAAGTCAATACAGGTAGGAAGGACAGATAGGTGCTACGCATAATAAATAAAATGGTTTTGAAGGACCTGGAATTTATTTGTCAAATCAGGCTCAATTCAGAGATACTTTCTGCAAAAAAAACAGAGGCGCGAATATTAACTCAGAGGCACACAAGTCTGTTCTAAAATTGCTGTGATTTAGTGTATGGCTGTCAGAGGTAGCATTTCATCCTTACATTGTCTTTTTCCATCCCTCACTCCAACAGCAATGTATTTGGGAAAAGCGACACAGCAGATCAACCTTTTCCTGTTCCTTCTCAATGCCTGTTGTAATAACAGATATTTCCCAGAAATGCAGGACAACTCATCCCACTGCTAAAATGTTTTCCATAAAAATCAGAAATGATCAGTCCATTTGGATTACCATTGGACTTCCCATTAGACAGAAATTATATATTTATATATACTTTTGTCGTGATATATTCTATTACTGTTTTTCCCTGTTGCCAAAGTATTGCATAGTTACCTCTCATTCACTGATAGTAATAACAATTATAACACCTACTTCTTAAACAGCCTGCAGCAGCAGCTCAGAGTCTTGTGGCATCCCTGAACATCACAAAACGACAGACTGAGACAGCCCCAGCCCTCAGCCTCTCCCCTCGGGACAACTGCTCCAGCCCTGACCATTGCAGTGGTCCCCCACTGGAACTCGCCCCAGTTGATGGATGACTTTCCTGAACTGGGAGGCCCAGCACTGGACGCAGTATCCAGATGTGATCTCATGAGAGCTGAGTACAGGGGGATAATTAATCCCTTATCTCCTCCGACTGGCCGAGCTCCTGCTCATAGATTTCAGGGGGCTGTTGGCCCTTGTGAAGATACTAATACACCAAATACCAAAAGTGAAAGACCCTATTTTGTAGTGAATTTGTGCTTATGTGTACACAGAATCAAGAAACAATTTAATTTCAGTGCTCTTAAGCATGAGCAAATGCTTTGTTGAATCATTTCTCAGAGTATTTCTTCTTTTCAGGATTGACCAAGTACAATAATTGAAACGGACTTTATTACTAGTAGTTTGTCAAAATATTTAATTAAAAGCAAATTTCAGGGCACAACTTTGCCTGGCTCTTAATACTGTAAGAATCTTTCTTATAATTTCAGCCAATTTCATCTGGGATTTCCATTCATTATATCTATTCCTCATATTTCGGTACAATCTTTTCAAAACGAAGCTTATGGATGAAACTCGTTATAAAACTTGGGACTTGGATTCAGGGAGTTTGACTATTCAAAAATATACTTACAATTATTTTTAAAAGTCTAGTGTCCCCATATTTTTGGATGGAAGACTGAAATTTGTTTAGGGTGCTTGTTTCTATTAAAACATTCATTTTACCTTGAGATTTTTCGTATTAAAAACAATAAAAGATTGTATTTGCACATGCTTCCTGGAGGTACTTTACAAGGTGACAGTAGAACTCCCTTAAGATTCACACCTTTATCATGCTCTAGCTTGAAGCCAGACAGAATGTTTTCTTGCAATTGTTCCTCCTATGTACAAGATGCTTTTTTGGGACTAAACATGAAAACAAAAAATAAAAAAAAATAAATTTGTCTTGTGCTTCAGTGATTGTATAATTAAAGATTGTATTATCAGGCATATGCATAGAGGGACTTAACTAATGACACCCGAATTCTTTTTTTCTGTCATCTTATAACTTAGTAATCTTTTCTGCAATGTTAATGTTCTTCTATGTAAAGCAATGCACTTCTGTATAGATGAAATGGTACACAAGAGGCTGTTTTTGTCAAGGCTGCAACTTCATTCGTGTTTTTAGAATACCGTGCTTGAAAAGACCTTAACTGGGATCCCTTGCTAATGAATCTGAGTTCATTATTGCCTCACTAGTCCACTGATACCCTAAAAAATTCGTTTTCATAGCACATGATTTATTAAGTAGTTGGGAAGCAGTTCTAGGCACTGTGGATGACCCTGATTAGCACAGAACTGGAAAGCTAGCACTAGAGGTGTAAGATACCATAAAAACATATAAAGAGTATATACAGAAATGAATATAATTGTGTGAGGGAGGGTGTATGTATATACACATTATTTTTAATAATCTTCTTTCTTGCTTCCTCCTGCCATTACTAAACACGGCACTGATGCATCAGAGAGATGCTCATCAGATTTTATGTGGCCTAACCTTTACAGAGGAGGTTTTCTTAGGCAAAAAAATCTACACATATCCCAGGAAACTTCTTTGTTTGCATGACCTCTGAAAACCAGTCCAAACCAGTGCCTCTGTGGATTTTTGGAAAATGCCAGTTAGAGGAGATGAAACAGTCTGAAAAAGAGCAGGTTCTTAAAATGGAGGCTTTTCTTATCTCTGGTACACACCTGGCTCACTGTTAACTATGACTTCCTAACTTGGATGGCACCCACTGGCCTGTAAATTTGCTTTCCTCCTTGCCCAACACACTTCATGCCTTTTGCACCAGAGGAAGTTCATCAGCACTTGACTTTCTTGCACCTTTGCTACAAAAAAGATTTCTGGTTAAGTTTGGGCAGAATCTTATTACGAATTTGCATTTACAATATAGCCACATGAACATAAAATGACACTATGTGTTAATGCTAAGGTATACATGAATTTTTGATCATTTACAGTCTGTGCCAACTGGTCTTTGAATGCTTCTATAACGCAAAAGTCGTAACATATATAGTTAACAAATACACTGTCTATTACATACATATACATAGGTAAACAGACAAAAAAAATGAAGTTACCCTTTGGTGGTGTTCGTTTTTCATGTCTTTCCAGTTTCTGTTTATGAATTTCTGAAAAAAATGCAATGTAGAGGTATCAATATTAAAATAAATTTCACATCCAAAAATATTAGATGCAGTCTTATATTAAAAAAACAACTAAGTGCTTCAAATATAATAGCAGAGCTGTGGCTTTATCTTCTGCATATTCAGAATTATGTATAATAAAGTTCAATTTTATATATATGTACACAGACAATACATATGGACAAAAATCACAACATTAAGTGACTTTAATGATTATTCTGTTTTTAATTGATCAATACAGCTACCTTTAAAGTCAAGAATAGGTTTTGCTGATCTGTAACAACTATAGAGTAGCATGTGTTGGTCATGAATCAGAAAAAACATGCTTTTACTAAATATTTTTCTGTATGTATCTTGAGTTGTTTACCAGAATTAGTATTTTATGTTTTCCAAATTACCTTTGGAAGGAAAAAATGTTCTTTTTACTACATTTTCTAAATTTTTTAAAGCTCACACGCTGAATTGGTGGCTCCAACACACAATGAAAGGTAGACTTAATGCTGTATACAAATTACAGAGATAAAAGTTCCCAGGTTAGGGATCGTTGTCTCAGGGAATGACTCATTTTAATCATGCTGTATACCAAAGCATTGAGAACTGCCTTGTTAGAAGGGGAAGTGGTACGGCATTTACCTGCCCTTGCTGTGCCATCTCTTTCGAACAGAATTCCTCACCTGTGACATTGATATTAAATTACTGCTATATACCTCTGTAACTGATTTTTTTCCTACTGTCCTTATTGTGCAAAAACCAGGATAATATTGAAAATACAAAATGAAGAATTTGAGAAAAAGCACATCAGAATTAAACCAAACTTGCATAGCACTGTTTGCATGCAGTGGTAGAAATTTAAAGGCCATTTATTATAGGTGCGCAATAAAGTCATTAAGACTATACAGAGAGCCAGGTTTATGGTACTGTGCATATAGTTTCTGCAATAGGAAACTGGTATAAAATACTGGATGAAATTTGTCTTTGACAAAAGCACATGCAAGCCTCACTAGACTCTGTGGGAGATGCCTCCTTGTATTTTAGTGTTAGATGTGGTCTGCAGGGTCTAAATAACAAGAACATTGACCCCCAAATTAATCCAACAGAGAGAAAGTTACGCATATAACATCTCAACTCTAAGGAGCTACCTTAATTTCTATTGAAGACAACTGAAATTTTCCACTTATACCCTTAGTTATTTGCTCAGATTGTAACAGGATGCACATTGCCAAAGAGATCCAGGAGAAAATGGTATTTTCCCTTCCCAAGACACTGATCTTTGCACAGATCCTTGAAAATAAATATATAATGTTTTTATTGGATAGTATTTGCCATCTGAAATAATGATTGTGTCTAATTTGCAAGAAACATAATTATTCTATGGCATCAGCCTATGTTGTCTTCAGATAGAGAGAACATTATTTCACTGAGATAAAGGGTAACAAAGGCCAAAAAAGGTATCACTGTTAACCACTAATGTATGACAACATAACTAAGCTAATTACACAATGTCATTAAGCTAAAAGGACGTTTAATTCAGTTTTCATCTTGTTCTTTGCAGCCTGGGTGTGTAGTCCAATTATTGTTCTTTAAACCTATTGTTCTATAAAGGTTGTGATTAGGAAGAAATCATGCTGTATTGATTTATTGTCTTTCATCTGGGCCTGGATTATTTTTCTTTCTGCAACTGTGTGAGGATCTTTTTTCTATCAACTGAGAGAATCCAGTTGCTGAGTTTTCAAACTTTTCCCACCTGTTCTTCTTAAAAGGATGCATCAACTACTTTAGGCAGCATCAGTGGTAGGAATGGTGCAAGACGAGAACAGCCGGAGGATCGCTCCCTGATTCTGAGTGCATCTGAGCGGTTCTCCATGCCCCTGCTCCAGGCTGCCTCCAAACCCTGACTTGGTGCATTTAAGGCAAGCTCAGTCGCTTCCTCTGCGTGGCAATGTACAGCACAGACATATCTCACCCAGCTCAAGCAGTCATCCTGCACGCAGAGATGAATACGGCCCATAAATGGGCGATAAATCGTATTCTTCAAACAGGCATCTACACGGACACATTATTTCTTGCTTGCCTTAAGATGTCTCAGCTCTGCTGGGTTCCCATCAGCTGTTATGTGTCTCACTACAGAAAATAAGCCTCTTTTTCTTGAAAAAAAAGAGTACAAACCTTCGTTATTTAAAAAAAGACTTTTAAAATTACTGTGGGTTTAGAGAATTTCTTATTGCTAGTTTGACTGCAAAATACGTATGAAGCAATGACTGTAGAGCTGGCCATCTAAATCAGCCTCGTGTTGTATCAGTAGTCAAGCTTTCTTGAGACAAATTCTTCAGTAGGGTACAGAAAAAGATACTTTCTAGACAGCTGCACTGAAAATCACGTCTAACTTGCTACTACGACTAGGATACCACACAAAAAACCCTACACAAATTACTTGAAGTGAAATACCTTTTCGTGATACATAAGTGTGTATATATGTTTTTATATATTGAAAAGTGTGCTATCATTAAGATCTCTTCACAAGCTCCCCATTGTAGTTTGAATCATCAAAAAAAATCGCAGCCTGGAACACATCAATTCTGATACATTACAACCTAAGTTTTCCCAGCACAAATAAATCTAGTCTCAGTATATGCTGATCTTGACCAATTTACAAGACAGAAAATAATGAGTCTTTGCTAATTCCAAAATATTTAAAATAAGGAAACACATTAGATTATTGGGGATTTTTTTTCCTGTTCTGAGAGTTTTGATACTCTCTGCTTCATCTTTTATGACAAATAGCTTTAATTTTCTAGTAATCACATCATATCTTATTGCTGAGTTGACAAAGCGGCTATAATATCATAGAAGACTTACATGGCCAGTTTAAAGCATGTAATTTATCTCTATCAATGTGACATATTGTTAATAAATCCTAAATATTATAAATTCATGTTTAGAAAAATGACAGAATCAAGCAGCGGCAAGGATAATCTTTGTCACCACGGCAACCATCCTGATCCTTTATGAGATGACAGCACGGTTTATTAAATTATTGTAAGGGAGTACGTATTTTAAAAGCTGTATTTCATTGTTTGTTTTCTTCAGTTATCAAGCAGACATGAAAAATTATCTTTCTGTTTGCATTTCTTGGGTTTTGAATGGGTAAGTACTTTATTTCCTTAAATACGGATACTGTTTGACACCGATTTCTCCAGACTTCGGGTCTTGTGTGGGTATACAGAACATGCAGGGTGATTATTTTAAGTAACTCCGAGAAGGGAAGATAGTAGTCTCCTCACTGACCATTTCAAGATGCTGAAAGGAGATATATTCAACTATATTGTTAGCAGGCTGATGTATCTATGTGCTGTTGACCCAAAGCATGCCCTCACAATCAGCTGAGGATCGGTATCGCGGGCAGCTTTACTGGAAATCCCTACTGAACACCCAGTTTGGGCACTAGCTTCCCCCACCCCTCACCTGGCTAATTTTCATTAATAGCTGTTTACAGCGCCTAATGACAGCCTGGCACTGGCTGCACACTTCAAAGTCACAGCTTTAGGAAGATCAGGGTGGGAGAAAGAGAAAAAAAATTACAGTCCCCTGAATCCGCCTGAGTTAGTTCTGCAGCATCATGCAGGCGACCATCAGCGTGACCGAAGGGCACAGCTCCCTCTGGTAGGGCTTGAAGAGATTCTCCTGGTTCCTGAAACAGAGTTCCCTTCTTCATCTGCTCTCATGTTTCTGATTTTGATTTTTTGTTATCTCTTTTTTTAATGCAGTAAAATATATAGCATTATTCTTAGCTATTTTAATTATGTTGCATTATAATAGCACCTATGGGCCTCAGCCTACGTGAATTGCTTCAGGTACCACATGGAATTATAACACGATACAATATCCCATCTCTGTAGCACAGGAGGTCAAACTTTAAGAGGGTTACATTTCTTCTCTTAGTGGGAAAGCACGGCCCTGCATCTTGCTTCATTAGAGGACGAAGTGCTGAGTAGCAATCTGACACTGCTAAAACAGCTCCTAGACCTCACCCTCTGCTGAGTTTCCATCTTACGGATGAAATATACCTTAAAAAATCCAACAAGTCAAATAAAAAAAATTCAATTATATGGAAGGCAAAGGGAGAAAAACAAGGATTGTTGTCCCCATCTGAAACACAAGAATGCTTTACTCAAGGTAACCCAGAAAGTCAGCGAAAGAACTGGGAATTTAACTCTGATCCTTGACATTCAATATTATCCCCTCATGCTTGAAGCCATCCTGTTTCTACTTCAATACTGTGGTGAGGATGGAACATAGGTTTAATATATCTACTTTTATAAAGGTATAATTAAACAGATAGAATTTCACTTGAAATGATAATACATTGTTCTTTCTAAGCAAATTTTACCAGTTGGTCTTCTTTTTCATATCTCTTACAGATAATAGTGACATACACCTTCAGTGCTTGGACATTCTTTCTCTTATAAATATCTAAGTGTGAAAAGGAAAATGAGTCCTATTCAGAGTCCTGGTGAACTAGAGGTTAATAATTTGCTTTTGAGCAGTTAAAACCCTTACAGCTATTGCCAGCAATTTAATGGGGCTATATCCTTGCTAGTTTATCAAGACTAATTGGTAGCAGGCAGCTGATTATCCTGACGAGTTCGTGGAAATAGATACTGAGGGCAAGGCAAGAGTGAGTGGTGTTAAGAGCTTTAGAAGATGAGAGGGATGTCATTTCTAATGTGTTTCTAGATGCTGTCTGTATGAAGAATTGTAGTCAACTCTCTTGCTGCTGGTATCCTCAGGAGAAATTTGCAATTGCGTGGCTGATGTCTATTTTTAATCTAGATAGCAGCAGCTGGTGAGGGTGACAGTTATCCTTGTGGGGGTAGGAGGAGAATAAAGGAAGTTGTGCATAAGAGCAACTTCCAGCTAACTACTAATACATCGTGTAGCTGTGCTCTGGAGGAAAATAAACAAATTTTTCAACAAGAAAAAAACAC